AATTCACATACGATTAAATTGCGACTTCTCAACTATTTCGGGATTTAGAATTGCATTTGCACGAAACGTAACATGACATGTGATATTGGCGCTCTCCCCCCGTTTACAATTCCAGTAATCAGCGGTCACATAGACAGTACACTGAGAGAGAAGAAGCGTTTGATATTTATTATATAATTGAATGGTAAAATAATTATAGTTAAAAACTCCATTTTTATATAATTAGGAAAAAGTGAAGAGAATTGTGAACGAGGTGAAACACTAATGATATTATTACAGTATATTAGAGTAGTAATCTCTTATTTCTCACATCCAATGACAGTCCGATATACACTTAACGTAGATACTATACAAGTATTACATGGTCACGTAGAATGCACACGTTTAAGGTTAAGTTAAATACTATTGAGGTAACCGGACTCTATATGATCTAAGCTTTGCGATTTTTTCTAATTTTTTTGCTGAATTTAAAATTAAAAAAACTAGTCAAATTCAAAAGAGGAAACATTATTGAACATTAAAAAATATGTATGAAACATTTTCAAATATTTACATGGTCGCAGTAAAGATTTCAAGAAATCTAAACAAGTATATATATTTCCCTCTTTTTCATTAAAAAAAATGTCAAAGAAATGGAAAATAAAATAATCTAATATTATGTTTATAATAAATATATAGAATACATGTTATAATTATAATACATAAAATATAAGTTTATTAACATATTGACATGTAAGAATATAGAAAAATCTATTTTTCAAACATGGATTTATCTACTTATTTTCGCAATTTTCACAAATCCATGAGCTGTAACAAAAATATTAATAAAAAAAAAAGTTACAGTCGATGTGTACACTCAGTATGCTTAGGTTGGCCATAAAGTATCTTACAAAGAATTTCCTCTCTTTGATTACAAACAACAATAATAATTGATAACATTTACATATTATATAAAACATAATTTTGAACTATAATTAAAAAAATTTCTGCGGAATGATTTGTTGTCACGCGGGACAATACCCAATTGAAATTTGTGTTTAAAATTATAGTGATAATATGAATATTAATTATTGTAATTTAAATCTAAATGATTGGAGAATTTTTAGATTGTTATTAATTAATAAATAATTATCGGCTTTATTTAACTTTTCCTTTAAATGTAACAATTCTCTACTTCCTCTTATTACTGCTGTAATAATAATTATATTATAATTCTATAAAAATATACAATTAGCAAACGGACGTAAAATTAAACCGTAATATTTTAGTGACTATTTTTTCCTTCAGTGTAATAATTCATATCACGAGCGAATCAACACGTCGGTTTTCCTAAAAAAATATTCGCGCTGTATGTATTCTACTCCGTTACAAAGGTCTTTTTGATTACTATTCTCCTTGTTCGATTTTCGGCGAATAAGGTTCGCAGGTCAGGAACAAAGGGTGTACTAGGAGAAACACCTAATCGCAAATATACGGATCTCTCTGTTTGCTTTTCGGCTAGAAAGCCGCGGGAACATGACGGAAATGTTAGGGAGAAAGAGATACGAAAAGTGCGTAGCGCACCGAGTTTTCATCCGCTATGTATACTCTGTAAGTATACATGTACATGCGCGCGTATATGAAGAATCGTTATGTTCGCTCTTCCTAAAGGAACTTTAATCAAAACTGAAAAATAGAAGAAACCTACTTTTCATCCCGTCGTCTTTTCACCGTCGCTTCTGCAACCATTCCGTTCCGTCCATGACGAGCGGACGATAATACGGCGTCTGACCTTCTGTGCAAGATATCTTGAAATGTGTATACAACAATGCCGCATTGTCTAAGCCACTTTATTGTACCCGGCGACGTCCGAATATCACGCCGAGATCTCGACTCGCTCGGGTATGTAGAATGATTTGCAACTAACATGCGCAAAACAGACTTCTTGATTAAGATTAAGATGAAATTAATGAGAAATGAGAGGAAATTTTCGTGATTTAAAGCTCAAGAATTGCATAATTAAGTTACAGAATATGTTCCACGTTGAATTTAAATAGATACCGCTTCAGCAACATTTCAATTCCTAACTCAGTCATAAAGATATTTAATGTAGAGCATTAAATAGTGCAATACATGATGTTAATGGTATTGCATCAATCTTACAATGTTAACTTGAGTTTTTCAGCAATTTTTCAGAAACGATTCGTTAAATATTGCAGATGACAAATGCTGATTTTATATACAGAAATATAATTTGTGATTTATTAACTATATTCAATAAAGGAAATATTCAATAGCGAAAAAAATGTAAATGAAATAATTTTGTTAAGCTGATTACAGATATTGTCGAGATCTCATCTTACAATTAGATACGAATGTATCTTCTTAAAATCTATATCGTGCACTGTGTATACACACTGATCGTAAAACAGCTTGAGACAGGAAATATAAATTTACACATTACTAACATGCAGACATATAGCATAAGCCTAATCTATTTGCAATTAAAACTGAGTTCCCATGCATTAAAATCAATTATTATATCTTTGATAAGATTGCGTTATATTCAGATATAAATATGTATACGGTACAATTTAAAATTAATATTGCCGAATAAGCAATAATTTTACAGCCTCGAAATAGACAAACTTAACAGTCTGATATAAATTTATTATTTATAGTAACTTTTTTCTATTAAACGCTAAGCAGTTGAAGGGGATTTAAACAGAAAATTAATCCGAAAGTAATAAATAATTGATTTTCGGATTTTCGCTAATTATTTATCTTTCGTCAACAGATTACTATATTATTTAAGTCTTTTTAGTACATGTCTATAAAGCTCTCAAAAAGCTCAATGTTGTTAAGAAGATTAGTTACGAATAAATAATAGTCTAATCTATTGATATACAACGACAAATCAAGATCTCAGCTTTTTATTTTTTGTAAAAGCAAATTCAGTAGTAATTAAGATGGGAAGACACTTACCAATTCTCTAGTACACCGACGTTCGAAAAGTTTGGAGGAAAACTCGCGGCCGCCATCGATGGTCGCGACTAATGTCCGCTAGCTCCACTTCCTAATCCTCTTCGCAGTCCTAACACGCAGTCACTGACATAAACAAAACAAATGATTAAAAATGGCTCGAGAATTTGAGAAAAGCTGCGAGACAATTTAAAAACCTTCAATTTAACATTTTCGGAAAGAATTAATTATAAATTGTCAAAATTGACGAAACATTTTTAACTAAAGAAAATATAATAAAAATCTACTATCTCAGAAATATAAATTTCTTAAAATAAGAGAAAGTAAAAATATATAAAAATATCTTATCTACCACAGATATATTTTAATTTACTATATATATTGCACCATGTAATATTTTTTAATTCATTGTTTAATAAAAAATTATTCTCTCGAGAATATTTAGCACATCTTTACTGTGTGTTTAAAATATACATGTCGTTTCGAAGTGCCATTTAAAATAATCGCTAAATGATAAAAATATAATAAAATATTTTCATTATTTTTTATATAGAATTAGATAATACAATAATTTTTTTTCCAATTTGTATAAGTCATATTTTGTTTTAAATAAAATTATATAAATTTCTTACGTAAATCGGTTTCTCCTGATAATACAATATGTATTAAAAATATGATCAGAATGTGAATATTTTTTACGAAATATTTCATATTTGATGTTAAAATGTGTCAGAATAAAATATGAAATAATTTATAATTTTTGTAATTTCTAAATAACGTTATTTTAATCTTTTATGCATATAATATCCAGAGAAATTGATACACATATTTTTACATTTTCAAAAATTTATTACGGTCGTAATATCGAAGAAGAATTTTAAATATTATATAGATCATTAAATTCATATTTTCGGGTTCGATTCTATCAAGTGTGATGCTATTTCTTGAAAAATTCCACTATTTCCTCCCTTCAAATTTTGTAGAAAATAAGTACAGTTCCATCACGATAAAATCATCTCAAAGTAATCCCATTAAAGACCTTTTTTTATCTTTCGTCACTTTAATTTCTCGAGATCGGCGTGAACAGATTAAATGGAATACACTTTGTGTATATTGAATACTACTATTAAATGAATATATAAATACACATAATGTATGCGATTCAAATCATCAAGTGAAGCGGTTAAAAGCGAAGAACGACTTCAAATTTAAATCACTATCAGACACGATTTCGTCGTAATTGAGAGTCGTGAAATTGCATTCAGAAAATATGGAGATTCAGCCATCTTCCTTAAAAGTACCAACCGTCTCTGTTTACGTTCGCTTTATTCACGTTCCTACACATACATGCACAATACCGTATGGTTGTATTTGCATGATAAATTATACGCACACAGGCTAAGTCCCGCACGCATACTTAGAAACTCGCACTTCGGCCGACTACCCCTTTTCTCGCATCTTTACTATCTTTCCGCTTTTCGAATCCTAGTATCGGTAATGAACGATCTATTGTATCAGTGAATGCTCTTTCAGGCAACAAGATGAAAAAAGGGATAGAGGAGGATATATATACAGCTAGCTAAGGGTGAATGGCGAGAGGATTGGCGGACGAGGGGCGAATATAGAAGAAGTATGAAAACGGCACTCGTTAATGGATTCCCATTCTCTCCGACTACTACTTTACTCTCTCTTTACTGTCTTTCCCTTTCTTCGAACGTTTTCTCCTCATGTTCTTTGCGTAGTGCTCTCTTTTGCGCGTTTTTTACCATCCACGCAAGCACGGGGAGCTCGCTCGTTACACGTGTAAATCCTGAACTTTGGTACGGTCGTATGCGTCTCATTGTTCGTCGCGACGCTGTATTTCCGACTCGCAACAATCGTAAAACAAATGGCCGAACGATTCTTGACGCGTCGTAGATCTCAATGTCGGTAATAGCGGAATTATTCGACCGTCTATTTCACCCTCTGTGTATAATAACGAGGGGATCATCTCTGGTGCGCGGAAATCTCGTTGAGGCTTTCCGGATGTGATTTCCTGGAGCAAGGGTTAACTCTCGATTAGCAGGATTAGCAGAGATTACTGTATACAACGTACGTTTCTCGTGTACATGTACATTATCAAATTACAATAAAAGACACGGATAAATGTAGAAGAATTATCAATTTAAGAGTACCTAGATCCTCAAATAAGAGATTAGACACTGTTCAAATAAATTTTGATTATTTTTTTTTGAGTTCACTTGATCCGCCATATTCAAGATGATTTAATCAATTGTATCTAGACATCTTTTCAACTACGTTTTAAGAAATTATCTATAACAAATGTTTTTCACAACTTTACATAATTGTAAGTCACATAATTTTATTCCTTAGAATTTGACTTTCACAATGAAAAAATCAATTCAATCATGTTAATTTTAAACAAAAATACATTAACTTAAAGTACATTGAATTTCACGAATACCAGTAAGGAAATTCAAAGTGAATACCGATTAGGAATAAAATAGACTGAAATGCATAAGACAGAATGAGACGCATGGATATCTATCCAATTTTATCTTAAGTTTGGTCCGCTATATTCAGGATATTTCAGGACAGTGTCAAATTTCTTACTTGAGGATCTCTAGAAGTACTTAAAATTTTTAAGTAGTACTCGAAAAAATTCAAGTTCAAATTTTCTTCAGTTTAAACCGATAAGAAAAATTACGCTCCAAAGTTCTACCAAAAGTTCGCGAACTCTTGGTGCGCGTACCGAAGAACAAGGAGAACAAATTCTCGTTAATTAGAGAGAATAGCCGAGTGCAGAGAGAAGGATCATCAAGGCGGACGATGCGCGTCCCGGTGCGGATTAGAGAATACGACAAAATCCATTGTCGTCGATCGAGCCGCTGCCATTGTCCGCCGCCATTGTTTGTCCGCTCGTACGGCAGTGATAAGGGGCACGATTCCGTCGGCTCGCGAATGACAGCGAGCGAGAGACAACGCTATTATCTCTGCAAAATGCCTGACGGGAAAGAGCGGTTTGCAGCATTGCGTCAAAACGCCATCGAAATATTTTCAACAGCAGCATTTCGGAGATAATTGGCAACGAGAGTGAAAAAAACAAGTCCGTATTCGTCGCGCTTTTCTCGAAAAGCTTGAAAATTTATTATTTGCAAATTACGAAGATAAAAATGGATCAATGCGCATGTTTCTCTTTTCGATAATCCTTTTACGATCCTCGATGTTTCTCTATCGCATGAAAATCCAGCGTTCCTCATCAATGATTATTATTTCTATCCACACTGATTATCCTTTGTTTATCAAACTTGCAGAAGAGGCTACTCGCCACTCGCCCAAGTTCTGAGGCGCAAACTTTGCTAACTGGCGAAATTGAATAGCGAATGTATATGCGAGAAACGTATCATCCGTACGGAGTAATCACATAGACAAAATCAAAGTGCTATAATTAATGCAGGTGTTGGTGTATCGTGAATAATGAAAATGCCACCAGCGTCTGTTTGTTTCGAAAAATCGAAGATCAATCAAATTGAATTCCGTCATTTTATCTGTGGTACATCGACGGTCATCACATTTAATCGCATCGATAAATTAACGCTGACTTTCACGCGTAATATTCTGACATAAATATTTTCGCGCTAATAAACAATTCAAAATAATCCGAACATTTCGGTTTACGACTATTAATACGATAACAAATATGTCTCTGTTAAAAATAATAACACATTTACTAATTATCAGTTTTGATTTAATTCTCAGAAATCCCGAGAACCAATAGAGGACGAGCAAACCATTCTCAATTTTTAAAAATTATTATTATGAAAATAAAATGTAATGATTAATTGATCAGATAATATTCGCACAGTCCATCCGACAGTGTAATACATGTTTGTAATGCAAATTGCAATGTTGGAATATATCACAAAGATAAATATAACTCATTTGATCAAATGGACAGGTGAAGCTCATAGCAATATAAGTCACTTTTTAAAAACATCAAATTGAGTTTATTCAGTTTATAAAACAAATATGTTTATAAAACAAAAAATATTGTTTCTCAAAATTATAAAAATTATTTACACCGCTACGGCTTTGACCCCTCTAATTAAAAAAGTATTTTATACAGAAATGATGATTTTGTTGAAGGTATATAAAAATCTAGGTCTATAAAAATTACTTAGCTAGATCTGAAAATAATTCTGTCAAACCATCAAAATAATTATGCAGGACGCTCAAACTAGTTGTTAAAATATTAAAACATTTTGTAGCATTACTTATCACTTGAGATTTCTACGTTATTACTTTGATGATTTAAAATTATATTTTCAGATCTGTGTGTGTATTCAGTTAAATTTTGATTTCAATAAAGTCATTCTTTTCGCGCGTGTGTGTGTGTGTGTGTGTGTGTGTGTGTGTGTGTGTGTACTAACATATACCATGTGAAAAACATAAATGATATATAAAGCATTGCAAAAAAAAGACCGAGAACTTCTCTGTATAAAATAAAATTAGTAAAATATAACTCAATTATTGGACGAAATGAAAATTTCAAGCTTTTAATGATATGTACGACTCCAAATAAATTTGTTGTTAATAAAGATTTATTAACGAATTTATTTAAAGTCGTACACATCATTAAAAGCTTAATATTTAAAAATTATTATCAGTTATCACTTCGTCCAATAATTAAGTCATATCTGATAACTGATATATTTACTTAACAGGATTATCAAGACTACAATTGTGAGCAATGCTGTGAAAGGACATGATAGACTGTAACATCGATGAGAACAGTATAGCATCAAGAGATGGAACAACCATTAGACAGTAGGTCGTTCGCGACTATAAACGGAAGACGATACTCGTCGGCCAATACGGTGCGAATCGCGTCTACTTTCTCTATCTGGTCTGACTAGGAAGTCGTAAATCCTCTTTTGCTATTTGCACGGTGCAGGCATTTTATGCAGTATACCGTGGCAATAAAGCGAACGAATGCGATCGAATCGGTGCCAGGATACAGACGACGCACCCGTTTCTCTCGTAATCGCGTGTCTCGAGTTTTGATAACTTTTCGACGAGCAATAATAATGCGCGATGTGGTGCGAACATACTGAACGATAAGAATC